AGTGCTATTTAATGTCTATGTGTATTTACCCATGTAGTATGGCTGTAGTATTATTATTTATCCTTATTATCTTCTTTACTCCTTATTGGTATTATTTTGATTATTATTCTGTTGCTTTGCATGTACACTGAGAGTTTTTGCACCAGAGACAAATTCCTTGTGTATCTAATTGCACCCCATATGTTCCAAAGCACTTTTACTGCCTCCAAATTGAACTGCTAAACAGTTCTAAGAAATAATACAACAGAACTATCTCTTGCTTATGAAAATCTTTAACTTGTCCCCAGAGCAACTGTTCAGCAAAATTAAATTTTCAAATGCTTGCTCTGCAAATATAGTGCTATAAGGTGTTATTCATTGAATTATAAAATGATAGCATTTACACAGATCCACATTCCTATGCCTTCCTACTTGTGTTCCACAGATGAAGCGGACAGAACTGAGGCCAGCTCCGTACTTTTCCAGAGCATCATGTCCAGCACGGATGACTTCTGGATGACTAGAAAGTCCAAGGTAATTGTTGGCACAGAAATTCAGGATATCTGCAAAAAATGACATGTATTAAGAAGAGGAATTGAACTCGAATAGTCGAGCCTTGTGCATCTTCTTAAATAATTCTATATTTCTCTATATTATATAGAGAAATATATTCCATATTTCAATTTTTAGATGTGACTTTGTTTTATGTCATGAAGTGGTCTTGTCTACTTAACCTAGTTTATTCTTTTTGTCCAAAATTTGAACATCTGAAGATAGAGCCTTAAGAATAACATCCTATAGGTCTTCCTCAATTGCAGGTTTTGATACTATTTTTTTTTTAAATATACCTGCACATACAGTATAAGTAGTCCAGGCCCACTGGGTTACTAAAAAGGCCTTTCTTTACACCAGCAAATATGGGAGAATGAACCTTTGTTTGGTTCATTCACAGAGTCAGAGTTATGGATATAAATACAAAGATTAATCATGGGACTAACAAGATCAAAGCTAAATTATAATATTAATCTACTCCAGAGGTGGGTAAATTGAGGTCCCAAATATGCATACTTGAATCCCTTTCTTGTTGGCTTTGAACCACTTTTGGCACTGATGGGCTGAAAGAAACCTCAAGAGCCTGTGCTGTCAATAAATCTGGGAAATAGATGAAAACTAAAGTAGAAAGTCCTAACAAAAGATATCAGTGTTAAAAAACATGAATCCTCAAATCTACCCCAAACCCACTCTTGTACAAATATGGCCTCGTTCAAAAAAGTTGATCCCAACCCTTAAAAGTCCGCCCTGTCTTCACTTTTCCCACCTATTCCAACTTTCTTAACTATCACAACAATTTTCATATGAGTGTGGTGAGGAAGGAATTGGCCATGGAGATGGTATGAACATTTATGCACCAGGTTAATTCTCACTCAGAAACCTAGTTCAGCAAAATTCCAAGTACCACTCCTTTTTAAACATATTCTCAAATGACACAGCGCAGGTCAAATTATTTAGATGAACAAACAAAAAGAAATACTAAAGAGTTAAAAATGCTGTCTCTAAATGGAAGGAAGAGGGACTAAAATGATAAATGTGGTTTGAAATAAACAGGCGGAACATATTTTTAAAAATTATGCCTATGCGGCAATCTAATTCTTAAAATTTGGTACAAACAATTTTTTCTGGAATTCCTGGGGGAGAAGCATTAATATTTTAGCACAGCTTTTGTGCTTTTGTCACTATATGAAATTTCTCATAATACATTTGATGAAAATATATTCTCACTTGATAGTTTGGATTAGCTGCCTCTGAAGATTTTTAACTTACATATCATTAGAAAAAGCTTTATTCCTAGAGCTAATTTTTATTTACAGTTGAAAAATGGCACTGAAAACTATGGGTAATTTGCAGATGGCTTCCAATAAGAAGTTAGTAGAATTTGTTTTAGAAAATCAATGGGCTAGGGTTTTTAAAAAAATGTCAGATCAATATTACTTGAATTTAAGATGAATTTTATTCAACAAAATACTATTTTTCAAGACTATTGGATTCCCCAAGGGACATATAAGATTGGGTTTGAACTTTTCTGTGTTAGAAAGATCACAGATGCATAGTTCCCAAGAAAAAGACATGATGATGGCTCTTTCTGCAAAGTCAATAGGAGTTGTCCCATACAAGAGAAAGATAACCTAAATAAACTCCCTTTATAGAGGTGAGGGGCACTTTCTGAGAGCGGCCACTACTCAAGATTAAACTCTCTCTCAACTCAAGATTGAACTCTCAACCTTCTGAATGGGAAACGAGCATCTTCACCACTAGGCCACTCTAAAAGTAACCTAAATCTTCACCCTTATACTTGATCTGGGATTTTTTCCTTTTCTTGTAGGGTTAGTAGCACCATGATAGTCTGCTTACCAAATGTGCCAGTTCTATAAAAAAAGGGAACATGATTTCCCGAAACTATTGCCAAATAAGTTTCTGTATCCCCCTCTCCAAAGCTTCGTTTCTGTTTCCCAACCGCTTACCTCCTCGGCTGCCTTCCACGTTAATATGCGGGCCTTGCTTTGATGTTATTATCCTCTCGTTCTTCCAGGTCCCAGCCCCTCGGATACCTTCCAGCTCACCCTCCAGCAGGCGCTTGAGCTGGGCCAAAGCAGACTGCGCCCGCGAAGGGCTGCATTGCCCCAGAACAAACGGGGACCGTAAGAACGGGCTGCACCACATGGCTCCGAAGGAAAGCGCCCCACCGACAAAGGGAGAAGATAAAATCTGAGCGACTACTCACACTAGGCATCAAGTAAAAAGAGGTGTGGACTAAGCAGCCAATCGGAGAACAGGAAAGGCTTTTCCCTCCAGCCGCACCAATAAGCAGCAGGATTTATTTAAAGAGAGAGAAACGTTGGGGGGGGGGGGGGAAATGATATTCTGACACTTAAGCGGAGCTGAAATTGAACTGAAATTGGTAAGGAGCGGGATGAAAAATAGCCAGATGGGTTATTGGAACAAGTAATGCAGGTCTAACAGGACAGAATATAAAGAAACCTGAAAGCTGGCTTAAGTTCGTTTAAAATTAACTTGCTGAAAATGAACTGATCAGGTTTGTCAGCAATTTTGCATTTGTTTAGGAGCTTTGTTTCTCTTAGGATGCCTTCTCACTTTTAAAAATTATAGAGACCCCAAAAGAGGTTTTGTTTGATTAGTTATATTTATTGATATTTATTGTATTAAAAACTAAAATGGATGCATTTTCTGCCATTGTTGCTTCTTATTATTTGATGGGATTTTAATATTGTGTTATTTTTAGGGTTGCCAGGTGTCCACTATTTGAGTGGACAGTCCACTTTTTTCACATTATGTTCACTATTTTTTTTTCACAAAATAGTGGACATTTTTTTTATTCAAAAGCTTTATGATGAAATGGTACGTAATCTAAAGCTGTACAGTCTACTTTTTTTACTACTTAACCCCCCCCCCCCCCCGCTTGTCTGCTATTTTTTGGAAGCAGACCTGGCAACCCTAGTTATTTTTCAACATAGGCTGGTAAATAATTTTGATTTTACAGACCTCTGAGTGGGTCTTGGGAACCCCCAATGGTCCTAGGGCCACATTTTAAGAAATACTGGTTTAAGGGAATGTCTGACTAGAAAAACAATGGAAACTTTTGAAAATGTTAATAGGGATTAATAAGAATTGTTGTGAAATACATGATATTTCCTTCTCTCCCCCACCCAAGTTAATGCAATTGAAATCTGTGAAAAAGAGAAGCTCGTTTTTGCTGAGTTAACACAACGGAGCGACATGTGATTACTTGTATGTGGCTTGTTAAGTGAACACAAGCAATGGCTCTTGAAGCTACTGGATGTTTCTGGAAATGGAACATGGCATAATAAATATACCGGGGTTGCCTGTTTTCTGTGCTCAACCTTCATTTCTGAAAGGAAATCAAATGGTATACAGTATAGTATGTATTAACATTTCTCATGGCTGTTATTCAACAGCCTTTTTACTCTATTCAGAAGCACTGGGGTTTTAGGTTTTCTCTGAGCCTCAATACTTCTCCAGACAGGCAAATGCCTGTATCAAATAAAGTTACACTGCCAATTGCAAACTTTCCAGAGTAGAAACTTTGGAGATGTTTTGCTAGGTTTCATGGTCAGATTACTCTCACATTTTCCCTGTGGAACTGCCTTGAAGTCAGTTTGAGAGCTACAATCAATTCTTCATATATAAATTATTAATAGAAGTCAGGACATAGGATCAGTTCAAATTGCCAGTTCTTTTCCTTTAACACTTACCCACATGGGATCAAAAACCTCTCTGGAACTGACTGATCCACCACACCCAGGGATCTTAATGTGATGTTCTGTTAAGTAAGATAAGGTGGGTGGAAATTGGAGGGGACCATCTCCTGCAGAATGATTTCTCTTCTTGGCTTGTAGAATGACCTTTCCAAATAGGTCTATCTAACTCTGATTTCATGCTAGGAAAATTGTTTCCAAATTCAAAAAGTTTATCTCAGACAGGGACAGCTCACCCACACAGGACTTGATTTCATTTATATTATTTCTTCCTCTGATCTTCAAGGATGAAAATTCACCCAAAACCTGCTCAGGTTTTTATTCTGCTTATATTTCAGCTAAGAGTGTCAGTTATTCCTATTCTATTTTTCATATTTTTTTGAGTCTGGAAATACCAAGAGTTTGTTTGCATGCCTGCTTCATTCAAAGCTAGAGATTATTGGAACACAACACCTATTTTCAAAATTATTTTGTTTGTGTTTAGGTAACAGACTTGTTCAGCCTGGAGACTTTGGCTGACTTCAGAGATACCTATTTACAGTGAGTGCAGGCAGCCAACTGCCAAGCATGCTGGCTTAAAACAATGATTGTGGATGCATTTCCTAACTGCATCACAAGACAAATGACATATTTTCAGCTATGTGTGTAGCACTATATGGAAAGTGATATAGATGTATGCCTCCTTCCAGTTTCCCTTCTTTATTTGCCTTTATTTTATCTCAATCTTATGGCTAGATGCAGGAGCCATTATGAAGATTTAGCTACAAAGTGAACATCCCTGCACAGAAATTTTCCATTTGGAATTTTGATCTTGAACATGTTATACAAATGTCAATTGTTTAACTTTATAAAGCCACATCTGCATGGATATTCTTAGAGGAACAGATGTATTTGTTCTGTGAAAGTACTTTCTGCATTCCACAAGTTCCAAATATTCTATTTAAGTTGTTCCTATCTCTCTTACAAATTCCAAACCAGGCACTGTGGGACCATCTGATGATTTTAATATCAAATGTTTTTGCAATCTATGATAGTATGTAACAAGAGTTGTCAACATCGTAGCAGACAATTGTAACACACACATTTGCAATGTAAATGCAACTTTGTCTATAGTTCACACAGGGTTTAGACAAAGAACTAAATAGCAGACTGGAGATTTTTTACTGTAAAATACATTTTCATAGTAAAATGAGATTATGTCTTGTTGGGCTGACATCTAGTGGCCAAGTTATATTGATTTTTCTGTGATGAAATCTTCTCCTTTTCAACCTGTCAAATAGCCAGTTCCTTAATTCGTCACCAATGCTCTCTCTCTCTCTCTCTAATTATAATAAAGCTTTCCTAAACTCATGCTTTCCAGATATGTTTGATGCAGGAGTGGGAAAGAAATATCTGGAGAGCACCAAAATTGAGAAAGTTAGGTTTGGGCACATTCCCCCCCCCCCCCGACTGCTTTGTTTTCATTACCAAAGAACTGACTCCTTTCTCAAGTTATTTGATCAAGAATAATGTTCTTGATCTGTCTAATATTGAGGATAGGGTTACGGTCAATCTGAAATTTTATAAAAAAATTATTTTTACATAACAGTATATCAAAATAATGTAAATGAGTAACTAAAATGTTAGTTTGTTTTACATTTTATTTTAAACCCTAAAATTACAAAGACAGCTAAATCTTCCTTGCACAAAATTACACATACAAAGTAAAATAAACAATCAAATATCAATCCTATAAGAATTTTCTTTTGTTTAAACATAAGCATACTTGATTTTTTAAAAAACCTGGAGCACTTAAAATTATGTTTTCCATTCCCCTCTTGGGGAAGTACATTCCAAATTTTAGCAATAATTGTATACAGCTTCTTAAGATTCAATATTGGCTACGTTTGTTATCTATTATCCCCTACATTTGTTCTTCCTCCCTTAACCCCAAAAGACCCATAATTAAAAAGTGAAGATTGGAAGGAATCTTGTAGATTATACTCATGTAAAAGTTGTAATTTTAGATGGCAGACACTGCAGAACTGGGAAGCATCCAGATTCCAATAGCAAGTAATAGATAGCTTTTGTAACACTTTCTCTTGAAATTGCCAGAACCAGAGGGTGGTCAGAGACTGTGCGCACACCCCCTCCTGATTATTTCTATTCTCTTTTCGGGAATAGAATTAACATCTACACTTGTGGCCAACATGTACAAATGTTAATAGGGAGAAATTAAAATATTTGCAGTATTTTTCACTGACCCCATTTCAATCTTCCCTGTAAATAGCACAGTCCCCCTCTGAAAGAATGAAGTCAGTGGAAAGCTTATTAACCTCAACCAACCCAATCTTCACTAGGTTTAGAAACAATCATCCACCATATTAGCTAAATTGGAAGCTTATGCATCCATGATAAAACAAGTTGTTTTTTCTTAAAAGCCAGTTACAATGAACAGTTGAGGGTATATTCAGTTGAGATCCAATTAAAGAAGGCCCATAGCACCTCCCCTTCATCAAATATTTCTTAAATCTTCCTCCAAAAATAAGAACACTAAGAAATGTCCCTCATTAATCTTCCCTCATGCTTAGACACATGTATTGCATACCTTAATAGAGAAGGGACATAAAATAATGACATAAAAATCTCTTTCAAAGTACAATAGAAAAACAAAACAAAACCCCAAATGTAGCTTCCATATGAATGGTATTTTTTTAAAGTATAGGGCAAGAATTGTTCAGTCTTTATAAAGCTGCAATAGAAATGAGTAGAGAATAAAGAAGAAATCTATTTACAGAGTAGATCAAGAAGTTCCAAGAAAGAAGTCCCAAACTTGCCCCTCACTTTTTCTTGGTCGACTTCTTTGCACTGGACTTTGCTTTGGGTTTGGAAGCTTTTGCTTTTTTAGGCTTGGAGGCCTTCACCGGCTTGGCCTTGACAGTCTTTGGCTTCTTGGCTTTCTTTGGAGCAGGTGCTGGCTTCCTTTTGGCTTTCTTTGCTGCAGGCTTAGACTTTTTAGCCGGGGACTTGGCAGCAGCTTTCTTGGGCTTAGTGGCTTTCTTGGGAGCTGGAGCCTTCTTGACTTCCTTTTTGGCCTTCTTGACTGGAGCCTTCTTGGGTTCATCACTCTTGGCCAGGCGGAAGGAACCTGAAGCCCCAACACCCTTGGTCTGCTTCAAGACACCTGTTGTGACCAACCTCTTGATGGACAGCTTGATTTGGGAATCTGCATTCTCCCCTACCTTGTAGTGGCTCTTGATATATTTCTGGATAGATTGGCGTGAAGAACCAGCCCGGCTCTTTTCAGCCTGGATAGCGGCCACAATCATGTCAGAGTACTTGGGGTGGTCCGTGGACTTCTTGACTGCCTTGGCCCGCTTGGGTTTGGCAGCAGGTGCCGTGGTAGAGTTTTCAGTCATCCTGCTGGGCAGTTTCCTTTCAGAAAGACAGGTCTGGTGTCCGGTCCCAAACTTTCTTTAGACACGTGGGACTTCTTCTGCGTG